TTTACCCTACCCACGTGGCCTGCGACAGCTGACTGATAACTGAGCTTGCTTCACTTCACAAACCTAGCTTTTGCTGACGACATCATTGCCTCTGAGATCGCGTGGGAGGGGATAGCCTCTCTGCCCTAGGCTGACCTGAGACTCGGTAGAGATGTTTTTTACAAGGACCGCTTTGCCCAGAGACATTCTGTAGGGATCCATATTTATCTCTAGGTACTCATCTACCTTGTATTTCAGTCCACCTCAGGGATTGTCTAATTCCTTCCTATGTGTATTCCGGCTTTACCTCCCGAGGTCGGGAGGAGGAACTGTTTTCTACAAAGGGTCTGGGTCTGCCAGGAATAGGGCAGATGAGAACATCAGGACTGTGGCTCTTGGCTTTTAAATTCTAGATTAAAAAAAAATCTTTTACAATGATTTACAGTGGTTTAAAAGATTATTCTCCTAAGTGGTTTGAGTTACTCGTGGGCAGGGCTTCTGGCCTCAACAGGATAGGCAATTTGGGCTGGATAATTCTGAGTTGTGAGGGCTGGCCTGTGAATTGTGGGTCCAGCAGCATCTCTGGTTTCCATGCACTAGATTCCAGTAGCACCCCCAAGATGTGCTCGTAAATTGCCAGATGACCCCTGGGGGAGTGACAGAGCCACCCCCAGGGAAGAAGCACTGGGCTAGTACATAATAAACATACACTCGATCTAACTTTTGGAACTATGTCGAATTTCAAAGTAAATGATCTGTTCTGTCCATTTTGATTCAAAAAATTGAAACACACCTTCAGGATGGTTTGGATGTTACAGCCAACTGCAGTCCACACATTCATTTCTCAGTTTGGGCTCTCTCTTCCTGTAGCCATCCATTTGCTATACAGATGCTTAAAGCACGTGATGGCCGATAGTAGGAAGATGTTAAGTATTATTTTCTTTTCTCTATTCATTTTTCCTTTCCTTCCTCTACCAGTTCCTCAGATTACAATAGATTTTCTAACCTGATGGTAATTTTGTAATTCTTGCTTTTGAAGTTTTGAGTTAATGGTATTTTCATGAATTCCAAGGATTGACCTAGACTACTTCTCCCTCTTTTTATAGACCTCGCTAATGTCAAATTGACTTGAAAACATGATTTATTCACTTTATGTCAGAGTCCTGATCAAGAGTAAGTGCAGATTATAAAGCAGTATGTTCCGGCCGGGCGCGGTGGCTCACACCTGTAATCCCAGCACTTTGGGAGGCCGAGGCCGGCGGATCGCCTGAAGTCGTGAGTTCAAGACCAGCCTGGCCAACATGGCAAAACCCCATCTTTACCAAAAGTACAAAAATTAGTCAGGCACAGTGGCTCACACCTGTAATCCAGCCACTTGGTAGGGTGAGGCAGGAGAATAGCTTAAAATGATGAGTCACAGATTGCAGTGAGCCGAGATTGTGCCACTGCACTGCAGCCCGGGTGACAGAGTGAGACTCTGTCTAAAAAAAAAAAAAAAAAAAAAAGTGTGCGCATGCGCACACACACACCCCCCCCCCCACACCCCAAAACAAAACAGTATATTCAATATGATTCCATTTTTACCTACACGGCCCCTGCCATAATAAATACACGTGTTCAGAGATATACTCAGGAAGTTATGTTCCGTCCTCGAATCCGTACCCTACATGGATCTCTTAATGAATCTGTTTCTTTTTGTTCATTTATAGCTAGCTTTCTAATTTTTCCTACAATAAGCATCTATTGCTTGTGGAATTGAAAAAGAAAAAAAGATGCTTGCAAAAGTTGTCCTCAAGCTCCCTGTGAAATCAGTACGAGATTCAGCCCGCACCCACTGGTGTTGTTAATGGTAACAAGAGTTGTATTGGAAATGATACTTATTTTTGGAAGACACAGGGACAACTGAATCACCCATAGTATTTTAGGGAAAAGAATGAAACAAGAAACCCCAAGTGAACAGGTGAAGATTTGCTAGGCAGATTTCTGTCTTGTACTGAACGTTTTTTGGGTCAAGACTAGATGCATGTGCATGAGCTCAGATGGAACTGTCCTGAGCTGTGGCGGGCTGAATTTAGCAGTGAGCTCAGGCTCAGGCCACTTAGCGTCATCCTGCAGAGAAGAATGACTGGTGTAGCCTGAGGCTTTGTATGCCTAGGAGACGTCCGGTAAGCACACAGCGCTCCTGGAGCATGCTGGGCTCGGGTGTCTCCCCGTGAGTCAACTCACAGGCAGGCTTGTGTCAGCCAGCACCTGTCAGTAATTGAAAGTACATGCTCACTGGTTAGTGTCCTTTTAGAAACCAAACTCAACTTCCTTCAGGGAAACAATTTGTGCTGATGGGTATAACTCCCTTCATCCTATGCACAGTAAGATGCTGTTAAGAGGGGGTGTCCGTTCGTGCCAGCCCTGTTTGTGAGAATGGTGGAGAGGGAATGAGGCGGATGGATGCAGCTGCTCAACCCTGAGTGCCCCGCGTGATCAACAATGTGGTTAGCACTGAGCTTTCATGGTTTAGAAGTAAGAGGGCAGGCTTGGGAGATGGACACATGACATTCTCCATCCAATTTCGATCATGTATTATGTGTAATACCTTAAATGTCTGGGTAAGTTATTTAACCCCCCAGAGCCTCAGCTCCCTCATCTCTAAAATGGACACAAAGTAGGCTTCCTCTTAGATTTGGTGTGAGCATAAAGATAGAACACACGTGAATAACAGCCTGGTATACAGCAGGTGTTCAATATTGCTTTCCCTCTGGTCAGTTTCCAAGTTCGTTGCTAACAGTAGGCACAGGCCAAGCATTCACAAAGGTTTTCTCGAAAGGAACTGATAGTAAATACTCTAGGTTTTGTGACCTAGGAAGCAAAATTAAGGATACTATGTACATTCTTACATAATAAAGAGAAAACATATTTCTACCAATTGTTATTGATTTAGGAATATAATAAAAATTGAGCACATTTTTTTTTCTTTTTTTTTTTTTTTTTTGAGACGGAGTTTTGCTCTTGTTACCCAGGCTGGAGTGCAATGGCGCGATCTCGGCTCACCGCAACCTCCGCCTCCTGGGTTCAGGCAATTCTCCTGCCTCAGCCTCCTGAGTAGCTGGGATTACAGGCACGCGCCACCATGCCCAGCCAATTTTTTGTAGTTTTTAGTAGAGACGGGGTTTCACCATGTTGACCAGGATGGTCTCGATCTCTTGATCTCGTGATCCACCCACCTCGGCCTCCCAAAGTGCTGGGATTACAGGCGTGAGCCACCGCACCCGGCCACATTTTTTTTTCTAACATAGAGTTACTGATGTAAATAAAAGAATCCTTTTCTGGGGAGATTGCGTTTTACTTAACTGAGGTTCAGAGTTAGAGTTCTATCAAATGGATTGCCAGTGTTCACCTGTACAAACCATTCTTAATTTTCAGGTCATGCAAGAACCGGTCATGAGCTGAATTTGGTCCACAGGCCACAGTCTGGAAATCTCTGCCATTGACTGCTTATTACTAACACCAATCTCTGCTTGCATTCTATCTGTAATCATTAATGGTGAGTAAATAATCTGAGATCATAACTGATGAATGAACTGTTAGAGAGTACCATCTGCAGAGGAGGTTGAAATAATTAAATAACTAAACAGGCACTCGGAAGCTGACAAAGTGCTTAGTCTTATTTGATTGAATAATTTTTTTTTTTTGAGACAGAGTCTCCCTCTGTCACTCAGTCTGGAGTGCAGTGGCATAATCTTGGCTCACTGCAACCTCCACCTTCCATGTTCAAGCGATTCTCCCACCTTAGCCTCCAGAGTAGCTGGGACTACAGGCATATGCCACCAGAGACCAGCTAATTTTTGTGTTTTTAGTAGAGACTGGGCTTCACCATATTGGTCAGGCTGGTCTCCAACTGCTGACCTCATGTGATCTGCCTGCCTTGGCCTCCCAAAGTGCTGGGTTTACAGATGTGAGCCACTGCGCCTGGCCGTGATCAAATAATTCTTTAAAGAGTATCTTTCTTTGTGGTGAAAATCTGGAAAACAGCAGGAAGAAATGATCAGGCCACACAATCCAACCACCTATGATGAGAGACCAAGCAGCGAATGATTATGAAAAGTCACTCAAACAGGTTCTTTCTGTGTTGAATCAAGTTAGAAATGGACATGCTTGTTTTTAGCGATCATGCAGCTAAAGGAGGGGTTAAGATTCGGCATGTAAGTATCAGAGGGTCCCCTCCTTTCACCCTTCCACCCACCGGATGGATAGGTCAGATTGATCTAGTTATAGGACCCTTAAACATTCGGATGAAAACAAGACCAAAAGAGGTCTTGGGGTTATTATGGGGTATATTCTTCACCCAAAGGTATTGCATTTTAGCAGAATGCTAGAGTAGGAATTATCCTGCTTAGAAGGCAGCAGAGTGGGTGTTAAGGGGAAGCAATGTGATGGGACATCTCTGATCACTGAGTTGGCAAGAAAGGAATATCCATATTTCTGAATATTTAAGAGATAGATATGGAAAAGGGTCAAAACACAAAGAGCGAGAAGGGACTAAGGTTTATGAGAAAGGGTCCAAGCAGGCAAGCTGGCTCTTTCCCATTCGTGTGGCAGAAAGCAGGGACCCCACGGCCACCCCTCATCTGAAATTCACTGAAAGCCTGTGGACATTTACAGAAGCTGCTGGGCCAGTGGTGCCGAAGCTGCTTAGGGCAAAGATTTGTAAATTTAAGAGTGTTGAATTGGGAAAGTGCTTACAACTCCTTGTAACGAAACCCTCCTTGGAAAAATAGTTGTTTTGAGGCAGAAATATTTTAAAATGTATTGTTTTAGCAGAAGGGCAATTTTTAGCCAAAGAACGTTTAGCAAATGAGCTTTGGCGGTGGGTTTAAAAATAGTTCTTTTCTGAGCTGATGCTGACACATCTTTTCCCCATTTTTGTGTTAAAAGAATACACAGCAAATGCATTTTCTCTTTGTTTAACAAGTTGGAATAAAATACATGATTTATATAAAGATAAATGTCAAGCAGAAAAACTGAAGTATACTTCCAAGCAAAATTTATTAGATGTCTATTCAAGAAAAACACAATGGCCTTTGCTTGTACGAATTCAAAGTCAATTCCTGGAAGCCAGGTATGAATATTTTTTTCTTTTAAAATCAGATACAGAGAGTAGAAACAGTAATTTTTCTTAAATATGACAGGCAACAGATATTGAAGTCTTTTCCCATAAATGGCATCAAAGATAATTATTCATTTATCAGCAAAGCTGCATGCACTTGATTTAATTTCAAACCCAAAGCCTTTAAAATATAAAGCTGGTTGTGAACTTGACAGAAATCAAGGTAGGCTACTCAAAGATGTTTCTTTACCTTATTCCTAATGAAATTCCTTTGTAATCAGTCTGTATATATGTACATTTCAGTTTGGCTTCTACGATCTTTTAACTTCATAGATTTTTGCATAAATGCTGTCTGACAGAATGACACTATCTAGGGGTGCTTGAGATCTGTGAGACAGGGAAAGGCTAATCAAGACCAAATCAGGAAACTTCCCTGTTTTCTCAGCAACTAAATAGTCTGTACAAAAAAAGAGCAAACATATGTACAAAATTCTAGAGGCTACGTACATTGTGAAAAGATCAATCACTGTCCAGGGGAGAAATGCCATAAAAAGTTTTATCTATAAGGTGCTCAAGATCCAAAGATGAATAGTTCTTATGCAAAGTCATAAGAAATACAAAGCTAGTTCTCGGAGTATGTGTAATTTAGGCACTGTGAACTATATTAAATCTTTCAGGTCCCAATATCATTTTGTAAATTTCTGCTTCAGGGCAGAAAATAAAACCTGAATGATTTAACATTGTTTCTAAAAAGTGCCTAATTTATTCCTAGGAAATATTTTACACACACCAGGAAAATCAGGCTCAACATATTCCTGTCCTCAAATGTAGCCAGGATTCTGAGTTCCATAGAAGAAAAATAATTATTATAGTAAAAATAATTGTATTAATCATAATCCTTGCTAAAACCAACCTTAATACTTGTGATGCTTCTGTACTCTATTTCTATAAAATAACGTGTGAGATTCTATTACATTTCCATAAAATGTACAACATATATGGATTATATGTTGTCATACAATCTCAAATGTTTATGTGTACACACAGTGAAATCTTACCTACTAGTATTGCTTACAGATACTTTCAAGTGTCTATGTTAGAATAATTCTTTGCACCTCTCACTAACACTGCTTTTACTTACATTTTTTTCAGATAAATAAAACACTAAGAGCTCACTGTTCATGATGCTGATCGTTACATTTTAATATAAAATAGCGATGCAATTTTACAACACAATAGTTTTCCCCTGTAGTCTAGCTCAGCCTCTTGTATTGTCATGGTTATTACCAAAGGCTCTTATTCATTTACTGTTTGCACTTCTAAAAAGTCCAAAAAAAAATTGCAGAAGAGGATTCCTATTTGAAAACTCACATTCAACCAACAAAATCGCACTCATCCAGATTAACTTTCCTCCTCTTGCTTTAAAGGCTGTAATCACTGTGCATGTTACAACATATATGTGCAGGCAAACAATTGCTAAAGTACAGCTACAGTTGTCATATGGTGTAAACCAAGACACGAGGCAAACTTGTGAGAAGAATATACACTGCCAAGCTAAGAATGTGAAAACGCAAACCACAGCATTTCCCAATCAACAATTTTCTGGTTGTCTTGGGGGGGAGAACATCGCCTGGGGAGAGACGTTGAAGCAGAGCCATGAGGCTGGAGAGCCTCCTGGAGATGCTTTTTTAATTTTTTTTCCTCAAGTATTTGACCATTTTTAAGTATCATGATTTTCTTTCTGATCCCACATTCTGACTGTCAAAGCTTAGGGCAGGAAGTAGGAATCCGCACTTTCACGGGGAGGCCAGCCTGCCATGTCGCCCCCAGGCTCACAGCAGCGGCAGTGACTCTGCTGGTGGTTTGCTGGCAGGTGGAGATGGCGACAGTGCGTTGGAAACCATAAGGCATGACAACGGGAGGCCCGCGGGGTGTCCGAGGCGCGGTGACGCAGGTGCATGGCTGAAAGGCGGCCTGCATAAGGAGGGAGAGTCATTCACAGCCTTTTGACGTAGTTTCCGGGGAAGGTACCAAAGAATTTGGTTCTTCTTGAGGTTCCTGAAAACAGAAGTGAGTAATGAAAGGTGGGTAACAACAGTATCAGTTCATACGCATGGGTTGAATACCTCGCATTTACAAGGCCCTGCGAAGAGACCAGGCCCAGAGGGGTTTGGAAGAGAAGGTAGGCAACTCACTTCAGCCCATAGCAGACACAATCAGCAGTTTTCGCTGGTTGCCTGTCGCTGTCACTGCCCCTCCAGCATAAATGATGCCCTGCCATCGCGTCCGCCTAAACAGAAATGCTCAGCCTCCCAATCTAAAGGCAAAGGAGGAACTCCTCCTCCTGCTGAAGAGGCCGGCGGAGGAACTCAGCCACGGAGGCTGCCACACAAGAGTGGCAGGTGAGGGATCAGGTGAGGCTCACAGGTGACAGGGTGAGTGGAAAATCCTAAGAGCAAGGCTTCTCAGGGGCCAGCAGCCTGCGCAACACGGGTGCGACATGAAGGCGTCATTGGCAGCACCCGGTCCCTGTCCAAACAGTTTCACCATCTCATAGATCATGCTCAGTGCCGCATCATTTATTTAAAAACAGCACTGCCAGAATCCTTCATCCAGCATACAATTAAAATTTTTCAACAGTTTACAAATCGTTAAAGAAGAAAAACGTTCAAGCACTACTTTTGTGTGGGAGTTCTATCGCTGAGCATGATATATAGTGTGTGTGTGTGTGTGTGTGTGTGTGTGTGTGTGTATATATATATGTAAAATTGCACTTTAGCTTCTAGGGTCCACGTGCAGATCATGCAGGATTGTTGCATAGGTACATACATGGCAATGTGGTTTGCTGCCTCTATCCCCCCATCATCTGTATCTGGCATTTCTCCCCATGTTATCCCTCCACAACCTCCCCACCCCCTGCTGTCCCTCCCCTAGTCCCCCACAACAGACCCAGTGTGTGATGCTCCCCTCCCTGTGTCCATGTGTTCTCATTGTTCAACACCCACCTATAAGTGAGAACATGTGGTGTCTGATTTTCTGTACCTGTGTCATTTTGTTGAGAATGATGGTTTCCAGATTCATACATATCCCTACAAAGGACACGAACTCATCGTTTTTTATGGCTTCATAGTATTCCATGATGTTTATGTGTCACATTTTCCCTGTCCAGACTATCATCGATGGGCATTTGCATTGGTTCCAGGTCTTGGCTATTGTAAACAGTGCCACAATGAACATACATGTGCATGTGTCTTTATAACAGAATGATTTATAATCCTTTGGCTATATACCCAGTAATGGGATTGCTGGGTCAAATGGAATTTCTATTTCTAGGTCCTTGAGGAATCGCCACACTGTCTTCCACAATGGTTGAACTAATTTACACTCCCACCAACAGTGTAAAAGTGTTCCTATTTCTCCACATCCTCTCCAGCATCTGTTGTCTACAGATTTTTTAACGATTGCCATTCTAACTGGCATGAGATGGTATCTCAATGTAGTTTTGATTTGCATTTCTCTAATGACCAGTGATGATGAGCATTTCTTCATATGTTTGTTGGCCTCATGTATGTCTTCTTTTGAGAAGTGTCTGTTCATATCCTTCACCCACTTTTAAAAGGGTTTGTTAGTTTTTTTCTTGTAAATATGTTTTAGTTCTTTGTAGATTCTGGATATTAGCCCTTTGTCAGATGGGTAGATTGCAAAAATTTTTTCCCATTCCATTGGTTGCCAGTTCACGTTAATGATTGTTTCTTTTGCTGTACAGAAGCTGTGGAGTTTGATTAGGTCCCATTTGTCTATTTTGGCTTTTGTTGCCAATGCTTTTGGTGTTTTGGTCATGAAGTCCTTGCCTCTGCCTATGTCTTGAATGGTTTTGCCTAGGTTTTCTTCTAAGGTTTTTACGGTGCTAGGTCTTATGTTTAAGTGTTTAATTCATCTGGAGTTAATTTTAGTGTAAGGTGTCAGGAAGAGGTCCAGTTTCTGCTTTCTGCACATGGCCAGCCAGTTTTCCCAACACCATTTATTAAACAGGGAATCCTTTCCCCATTTCTTCTTTTTGTCAGGTTTGTCAAAGACCGGATGGTTGTAGATGTGTGGTGTTGTCTCTGAGGCCTGTGTTCTGTTCCATTGGTCCATATCTCTGTTTTGGTACCAGTACCATGCTGTTGTGATGACTGTAGCCTTGTAGCATAGTTTGAAGTCAGGTAGCATGATGCCTCCAGCTTTGTTCTTTTTGCTTAAAATTGTCTTGGCAATGCGGGCTCTCTTTTGGCCCATATGGAGTTTAAGGTGGTTTTTTCCAGTCCTGTGAAGAGGCTCTTAGGTAGCTTGATGGAGATAGCATTGAATCCATAAATTACTTTGGGCAGTATGGCCATTTTGACAATATTGATTCTTCCTAACCATGAGCATGGAACGTTTTTCCATCTGTTTGTGTCCTCTCTTATTTCCTTGAGCAGTGATTTGTAGTTCTCCTTGAAGAGGTCCTTTTACATCCTTTGTTAGTTGTATTCCCAGGTATTTTATTCTCTTTGCAGCAATTGTGAATGGGAGTTCCCTCTTGATTTGGTTCTCTTTAAGTCTGTTATTGTTGTATAGTAATGCTTGTGATTTCTGCACATTGATTTTGTATCCTGAGACTTTGCTGAAGTTGCTTATCAGTTTCAGGAGATTTTTGGCTGAAATGATGGGGTCTTCTAGATATACAATCATGTTGTCTGCAAATAGAGACAATTTGACTTCCTCCTTTCCTAACTGAATACACTTTATTTCTTTTTCTTGCCTGATTGCTCTGGCTAGAACTTCCAATACTATGTTGAATAGGAGTGGTGAGAGAGGGCAGCCTTGTCTAGTGCCAGATTTCAAAGGGAATGCTTCCAGTATTTGCCCATTCGTTATGATACTGGCTGTGGGTTTGTCGTAAATAGCTTTTATTATTTTGAGATACGTTCCATCAATACCTAGTTTATTGAGGGTTTTTAGCATAAAGGCTGTTGAATATTGTCAAAGGCCTCCTCTGCATCTATTGAGTTAATCATGTGGTTTTTGTCTTTGGTTCTTTTTATGTGGTGAATTACGTTTATAGACTTGAATATGCTGAACTGGCCTTGCATCCCTGAGATGAAGCCTACTTGATTGTGTAGGTTTTTGTTGTGCTGTTGCAATCTGTTTGCCAGGATTTCATTGAAGATTTTTTTGTCTATGTTCATCATGGATATTGGCCTGAAGTTTTCTTTTTTGGTTGAATCTCTGCTGGGTTTTGGCATCAGGATGATGTTGGTCTCATAAAATGATTTGGGAAGGATTCCCTCTTTTTGGATTGTTTGCAATAGTTTCAGAAGGAGTGGTACCAGCTCCTCTTTGTATGTCTGATAGAATTTGGCTGTGAACCCATCTGGACCTGGGCTTTCTTTGGGTGGTAGGCTCTTAATTGCTGCCTCAACTTTAGCCCTTGTTGTTGGTCTATTCAGGGTTTCAACTTCTTCCTGGTTTAGGAGGGTGCAAGTGTCCAAGAATTTATCCATTTCTTCCACGTTTACTGGTTTATGTGCATAGAGCTGTTTGTAGTAATCTCTGATGGTGGTTTGTAGTTCTGTGGAATTGGTGGTGATATCCTCTTTATCAATTTTTATTGCATCTATTTGATTCTTCTCTCTTTTCTTATTTATTAATGTGGCTAGTGGTCTATTTTGTTGATCTTCTCAAAAAACCAGATACCGGATTTATTGAATTTTTGAAGGGTTTTTTGTGTCTCTATCTCATTCAGTTCTGCTCTGATCTTAGTTATTTTTTGTCTTCTCCTAGCTTTTGAGTTCTTTTGATCTTGCTCCTCTTTTGATGATAGGGTGTCAATTTTAGATCTTTCCTTGCTTCTCATGTGGGCATTTATTCCTATAAATTTTCCTCTAGACTCTGCTTTAAATATGTCTCAGAGATTCTGGTGTGTTGTTTCTTCGTTCTTGATGGCTTTGAAGAACATCTTTATTTCTGCCTTCATTTCATTGTTTATCCAGTCAACATTCAATAGCCAGTTGTTCCGTTTCCATGAAGTTGTGGGGTTCTGAGTTAGTTTCTTAATCCTGAGTTCTAATTTGGTCTGAGAGAATGTTTGGTATGATTTACATTCTTTTGCATTTGCTGAGGAGTGATTTACTTCCAATTATGTGGTCAATTTTAGGGTAGGTGTGATGTGGTGTTGAGAAGAATGTATATTCTGTGGATTTGGGGTGGAGAGTTCTGTAAATGTCTATTAGGTTTGCTTGGTCCAGATTTCAGTTCAAGTCCTGAATATCCTTGTTAATTTTGTCTCATTGATCTGTCTAATATTGACAGTGGAGTGTTAAAGTCTCCCACTATTATTGTATGGGAGTCTAAGTCTCTGTGTTAGGTCATTAAGAACTTGCTTTATGTATCTGGGTGCTCCTGTATTGGGTGCGTATATATTTAGGATCATTAGCTCTTCTTGTTGCATTGATCCTTTTACCATTATGTAATGCCCTTCTTTGCCCATTTTGATCTTTGTTGGTTTAAAGACTATTTTTCAGAGACTAGGATTGAAACTCCTGTTTTTATTTGCTCTCCATTTGCTTGGTAAATCTTCCTCCATCCCTTTATTTTGAGCCTATATGTGTCCTTGCATGTGAGATGGGTTTTGACTTTTTATCCAATTCGCCAGTCTGTGTCTTTTGATTGGGGCATTTTGCCCATTTACATTTAAGGTTAATATTATGTGTGTATTTGATCCTGCCATTTTGATGCTAGCTGGTTGTTTTGCCCATTAGTTGATGCAGTTTCTTCATTGTGTCGATGGTCTTTACAATTTGGTACATTTTTGGAGTGGCTGGTACTGGTTGTTCCCTTCTATGTTTAGTGCTTCTTTCAGCAACTCTTGTAAGGCAGGTCTAGTGGTGATGAAATCTCTGTGCAATTGCTTGTTCATAAAGGATTTTATTTCTCCTTCACTTACGAAGCTTAGTTTGGCTGGATATGAAATTCTCGGTTGAAAGTTCTTTTTTTTAAGGATGTTGAATATTAGCTCCCACTCTCTTCTGGCTTGTAGGGTTTCTGCTGTGAGATCCACTGTGAGTCTGATGGGCTTCCCTTTGTGGGTAACCCGACCTTTCCCTCTGGCTGCCCTTAGCATTTTCTCCTTCATTTCAACCCTGGTGAATCAGATGATTATGTGCCTTCGGATTGCTCTTCTTGAGGAATAGCTTTGTGGTGTTCTCTTTATTTCCTGGACTTGAATATTGGCCTGCCTTGCTAGGTTTGGGAAGTTCTCCTGGATATCCTGAAGAGTGTTTTCCGGTTTGGATTCATTCTCTCCATCACATTCAGGTACACCTATCAAATGTAGATTAGGTCTTTTCACATAATCCTGTATTTCTTGGAGGCTTTGTTCATTTTTTTCACTCTTTTTTCTCTAATCTTGCCTTCTCGTTTTATTTCATTGAGTTGGTCTTCAATCTCTGCTATCCTTTCTTCTGCTTGGTCAATTCTGCTATTGAAACTTGTGTATGCTTCATGAAGTTCTTGTGTTGAGTTTTTTAGCTCCAATCAATTCATTCATATTATTTTAAGCTGTTTATTGTTGTTAGCATTTCATCAAATCTTTTTTCAAGGTTCTTAGTTTCTTTGCATTGGGTTAGAACATGTTCTTTTAGCTCACAGAAGTTTCTTATTACCCACTTTCTGAAGCCCATTTCTGTCATTTCATCAGACTCATTCTCCATCCATCTTTGATCCCTAGCTGGTGAGGAGTTGTGATCCCTTTGTGGAGGAGAGGCATTTCAGTTTTGGGTGTTTTCATCCTTTTGCCCTGGTTTCTTCCCATCTTTGTGGATTTATCTACCTTTGGTCTTTGTAGTTGGTGACTTTCAGATGGGTTCTCTGAGTGGACGTCCTTTTTGTTGATGATGAAGTTATTTCTTTCTGTTTCTTAGTTTTCCTTCTAACAGTCAGGCCCCTCTGCTGTAGGAATGCTGGAGGTCCACTTCAGACCCTGCTTGCCTGGGGATCACCTGCAGTGGCTGCAGAACAGTAAGGGTTGCTACCAGTTTCTTCTTCTGTTATCTTTGTCCTGGGAGGACACCCAGCAGATGTTAGCCTGAGCTCTCCTTTATGGCGTGTCTCTTTGCATATACAGGGGTCAGAGAGCTACTTGAGGAGATAATCTGTCCCTTATAGGAGCTCAAGTGCTGAGCTGTGAGCTCTGTTGTTCTGTTCAGAGCTGCTGGGCAGGTACGTTTAGGTCTGCTGCCGTGGAACTCATAACCACCTTTTTTCCCAGGTGCTCTGTCCTGGGAAGGTGGGGCTTTATTTTTAAGGTCCTGTAGTGCTGCTGCCTTTTTTCAGAGATGACCTGCATGGCAAGGAGGTAGCCTAGTCACAGTCTGCCAACAGAGGCGCTGCTGAGCTGCCGTGGGCTCTGCCCAGCTGCTATGTGAACTTGCTTGCAGTTTTGTTTATAGACGTATAGTTAGAACTGCCTTGGTAATGGCGGTCTGCCTCAGTAATGGCGGACTGTCTCTGTAATGGCGGACTGCCTCTGTAATGGCAGACTGCCTTGGTAATGGCGGATATCCTTCCCCCTCCCAGAGCTGGACTGTCCGGGGTCCAGCTGCACTTGCTGCGAAACTCGTAATCCAGAGCATTTCAGATTGCTGGTGTTTGTTGGGGTGGGACCCCCGAGCCAGACCACCTGACTCCCTGTTTTCAGCCCCCTCTTTTTCAGTTGAATCCATGGCTCTGTCTCCTGGGCGTTCCAGGCACCAGTTGAAACAGCTGCCCAGGTTTGTGTGAGTTTTTGTGTGGAGACCTGCTGCGCCAGCTGAAACAGCTGTGCCGGAAACTTGTGGCACTTCTCAGCCCCAGGAATCTCCTGGTCTGTGGGCGGTAAAAACTTGTTGGGAAATGTGGTGGTCACTCAACCTCTGTGTTGTTCTCACCGGGAACTGCACTCCAGAGCTGTTCCTATTTGGCCATCTTGGATCCCTGACCACTGGGCATGATTTCTAACATGGTGTATTTTTTAGCCACATGCACAAATGGCTGTCATCATTATGATCACCCCTGGTTTCAAATAACATAATTCCTTGGAAACTTCATGTAAAAGTTGGTCCGCTAAATTCTTCTTTAGGCAGTGTAGATGGAGTGGATGGGGTCTCTCAAACTTCATCTCTCCCCTATATCCTGGCCCTTATTGCCTTGGTTGGATGACTGTTTTTCTTTCTCCTTGGCTAGGCAAGCCATTTTACATTTTGTCGTCATCGTCATCGTCTTTTTGAGACAGAGTCTCGCTCTGTTGCCAAGCTGGAGTACATTGTGCGATCTCCACTCACTGCCTCCCAGGTTCAAGTGATTCTCCTGCCTCAGCCTCCCGAGTGGCTGGGATAACAGGCACCTGTAACCATCCCAAGCTAATTTTTGTATTTTTATTAGAGAAGGGGTTTCACCATTTTGGCCAGGATGGTCTCGAACTCCTGGCCTCAGGTAATCCACCTGCCTCGGCCACCCAAAGTGCTGGGATTACAGCTGTGAGCCACTGTACTTGGCCTTTTCTTCTTTTTTTTAATGGACATAAAATCAGAGGCTTGTGGCTGCAACATGGGCTCAATTCTTTCATGATTTTGCCACCGATGGATGTCTAGAGTGAGCCCTCCTCTCCTCTCACCTTTCCCCTCTGTGTCCCAACGTAAAATACTTTTGTCTACAAATGTTTTCTCAGAAGACCTCTCATTTTTTTTTTAGGATGGTAAAAATAAAATTGCCTTTTAAGTGGGAAGAATGGAACTTCTCTCCACTTCCAACGTAAATTAAAGCTAAGGTGAGTCACTGAACTTTTAGGGATCTACATGAGAGCTAAGAAATGAGGGAGCTGTTCACTGAATCTTGCTCCCTCTGAAATTAGATTCTCACTGTGGACAACTAACATTTTCCACAGAACTGAGCATTGATATTTCTCTTCTGGGGACTGTTTGTTGTTGTTGTTCTTAGATCTCAATCTGTCCTGGTTTCTGCTATTTAAAGAAATTTTCTTCTCTGAGTTGAGTTGGAAATAAAGCTAGCAGAAAATCACACATAGCTGACACAGTGAATACTAAACCGTATTAAAAATGCAATAGCTGGAGACGGATCCAAGATGGCCGATTAGGAACAGCTCAGGATTGCAGCTCCCAGTGAAAGCATGGAGGGTGAGTGGATGCCGCATTTCCAGACAGACTTTTATTTCCCACAGACCGGGAGATTCCCAGGCGGAGGAGCCCCACGGGTTGCCAGCACAGCTGTTTTGGCCAGCACGGCTGTTTTGTCTGGCACGGCTGTTTTGGCCCACACGGCTGGTCTCCGCACAAAATACATGGATCTGGGTGCCGTTTTAGCTGGCGATTGGAGCTCCTGGGAGACAGAGTCGCCCATTCAACTGATAAAAAGGGGACTGAAACAGGGAGCCAGGCCAGGAGATTCCCAGGCAAAAAAAGTACCACGAATCTCAGCGTGGCCGTTTCAGCAGGTGCAGTGGGTCACCTTATAGGAAATCATACAGATCCTGGCGCATTTTCAACAGGTGACTGGGACACCTGGGAGACAGAGGAGTCACCTGTTCAACTAAAAAAAAGGGGGGGGGCTGTGTTCTGAGGCAGGGAGCCAGGTGATCAGACTCGGCTGGTCACACCCCCACAAAAAAAACCCCGCAATCTGAAATGCTCTGGATTGAGAGTTTCACAGCAAGCACAGCTGAACCCAGGATGGTCCAGCTCTGTGGAGGAGGGGCGTCCACCATTACCAAGGCAGCCCACCACTACGGAGGTCATCTGCCATTGCTGAGGCAGCTCGCCATTACAGAGAGAGTCCACCATTACAGAGAGAGTTTGCCATTACAGAGGTGGGCCGCCATTGCTGAGGCAGTTCTAACTACACCCATATAAACAGGACTGCAGGGAAGTTCACACAGCAGCTGGGCAGAGCCCACAGCAGCTCAGCAAAGCCTCCGCAGGCAGACAGTGACTAGGCTGCCTCCTTGCTGGGCAGGGCAGCCCTGAAAAAAGGCAGCAACATGACAGAAAACTTATAAATAAAGCCCTAACTTCCTGGGACAGAGCACCTGGGAAAAAAAAGGGGGGGTTTATGAGTTCTGCAGCAGCAGACTTAAATTCAGAGCTTGCCCGGCAGCTCTGAATGAACAATGGACCTCACAGCTCAGCACTTGAGCTGCTATAGCACTTGAGCTCTTATAAAGGACAGACCGTCTCCTCAAGCAGCTCCCTGGCCCTCGTATATCCAGAGTCACCTCATAAAGGAGAGCTCAGACTGACATCTGGCAGGTATCCTTCTGGGACAAAGATAGCAGAAGAAGAAACTGGCAGCAACCCTTACTGTTCTGCAGCTGCTGCAGGTGATTCCCAGGTAAGCAGGGACTGGAGTGGACCTCAGCAGTCCTACAGCAGAGGGGCCTGAATGTTAGAAGGAAAACTAAGAAACAGAGTTAACTTCATCATCAACAAACTGAACGTCCACTCAGAGACCCAATCTGAAAGTCAACAATTGCAAAGACGAAAGGTGGATAAATCCACAAATGTGGGAAGAAACCAGTGCAAAAAGGATGAAAACACCTGAAACCAGAATGCCTCTCCTACAAGGGATCACAACTCCTCACCAGCAAGAGAACAAGGTTGGATGAAGAATGAGTGTGATGAATTGACAGAAACAGGCTTCAGAAGGTGGGTAATAAGTAAATTCTGTGCACTAAAAGAACATGTTCTAACCCAGTGCAAAGAAACTAAGAACCTTGAAAAAAGATTTAACGAAATGCTAATGAGAATAAACAACTTAGGGAGGAATATAAGTGAATTGATGGAGCTGAAAAACAAAACATGAGAACTTCGCGAATAAAACACAAGTTTCAACAGCCGAATTCACCAGGCAGAAGAAAGGCTATCAGAGGTCAAACATCAACTCAATGAAATTAAACAAGAAGGCAAGATTAAAGAAAAAAGGGTAAAAAGGAATGAACAAAGTCTCCAAGAAATATGGGACTATGTGAAAAGACATAATCTATGCTTGATGGGTGTACCTGACTGTGACGAAGAGAATGAATCCAAGCTGGAAAATACTCTTCAGGATATTATCCAGGAAAACTTACCCAACCTAGCAAGGCAGGCCAATATTCAAGTCCAGGAAATAAAGAGAACACCACAAAGATATTCCTCAAAAAGAGCAACCTGAAGGCACATAATTGTCTGATTCACCAGGGTTGAAATGAAGGAGAAAATGCTAAGGGAAGCCAGAGAGAAAGGTCGGGTTACCCACAAAGGGAAGCCCATCAGACTCACAGTGGATCTCTCAGCAGAAACTCTACAAGACAGAAGAGAGTGGGGGGGCCAATATTCAACATCCTTAAAGAAAAGAACTTTCAACCCAGAATTTCACATCCAGCCAAACTAAGCTTCATAAGTGAAGGAGAAATAAAATCCTTTACGAACAAGCAAGTACTCAGAGATTTCATCACCACCAGGCCTGCTTTACAAGAGCTCCTGAAATAAGTACTAAACATAGAAGGGAACAACCAGTACCAGCCACTCCAAATACATACCAAATGGTAAAGAGCATCAACACAATGAAGAAACTACATCAACTAACGGGTAAAACAACCAGCTAGCATCAAAATGGCAGGATCAAATTCACACATAACAATTTTAACCCTAAATGTAAATGGACTAAATGCCCCAATCAAAAGACACAGACTGGCAAATTGGATAAAAAGCCAAAACCCATCAGTGCGCTGTATCCAGGAAACCCATCTCACATGCAAGGATACACAAAGGCTCAAAATAAAGGGATGGAGGAAGATTTACCAAGCAAATGGAGAGAGAGAGAGAGAGAAAAAAAAAGCAGGAGTTGCAATTCTCGCCTCTGATAAAATAGATTTTAAACCAACAAAGATCAAAAGAGACAAAGAAGGACATTACATAATGGTAAAATAATCAATGCAACAAGAAGATCTAATGATCCTAAATATATACACACCCAATACAGGAGCACCCAGATACATAAGGCAAGTTCTTAATGACTTACAAAGAGACTTAGACTCCCACAAAATAACAGTGGGAGACTTTAACACCCATTGTCAATATTAGATCAATGAGACAGAAAATTCACGAGGATACCCAGGACTTGAACTCAGACCTCAACCATTTACAGAACTCTCCACCCCACGCAGAATATACATTCTTCTCAGCACCACATCACACCTACTCTAAAATTGACCACATAATTGGAAGTAAATCACTCCTCAGCAAATGCAAAAGAATGGAAATCATAACAAACAGTCTCTCAGACCATAGTGAAGTTAGACCTCAGAATTCAGAAACTAACTCAGAACTGCACAGCTTCATGGAAACGGAACAACTGGCTCTTGAATGTTGACTGGATAAACAATGAAATGAAAGCAGAAACAAAGATGTTCTTCGAAACCAACGAGAATGAAGACACAGCATACCAGAATCTCTGGGACACATTTAAAGCAGTGTCTAGAGGAAAATATATAGCAATAAATGCCCACATGAGAAGCAAGGAAAGATCAAAATCGACACCCTATAGTCAAAATTGAAAGAGCTAGAGGAGCAAGATCAAAAAAACTCAAAACCTAGCAGAAGACAAGAAATAACTAAGATCAGAGCAGAACTGAAGGAGAGAGAGACATAAAAAAAACCTTTCAAAAAATAAATAAATGCAGGAGCTGTCTTTTTGAAAAGATCAACAAAATAGACCACTAGGCAGATTAATAGAAAAGAGAGAATAATCAAATAGATGCAATAAAAAATGATAAAGGGGATATCACCACAGTTTCCACAGAAATACAAACCATCATCAGAGATTATTACAAACAACTCTATGCTTATAAACTAGTAAACCTGGAAGAAATGGATAAATTCCTGGACACTTGCATCCTCCCAAGCCTAAACCAGGAAGCAGTAGAAACCCTGAATAGACCAATAACAAGGACAGAAGTTGAGGCAGGAATTAAGAGCCTAGGTCCAGACAGGTTCATAGCCGAATTCTACCAGACATACAAAGAGGAGCTGGTACCATTCCTTCTGAAACTATTCCAAACAATCCAAAAAGAGGGAATCCTTCCCAAATCATTTTATGAGACCAACATCATCCTGATACCAAAACCCAGCAGAGATTCAACCAAAAAAGAAAACTTCAGGCCAATATCCATGATAAACGTAGATGCAAAAACCTTCAATAAAATACTGGCAAACAGATTGCAACAGCACAACAAAAAGCTTATCCACCATAATCAAGTAGGATTCATCCCAGGGATGCAAGGCTGGTTCAACATAAGCAAGTCTATAAAAGTAATTCACCACATAAACAGAACCAAAGACAAAAACCACATGGTTATCTCAATTGATACAGAGAAGGCCTTTGACAAAATTCAACAGCCCTTTATGCTAAAAACCCTCAATAAACTAGGTATTGATGAAACATATCTCAAAATAATAAAAGCTATTTATAACAAACCAACAGCCAATATCATACTGAACTGTCAAATACTGGAAGCATTCCCTTTGAAATCTGGCACTAGACAAGGATGCCCTCTCTCACCACTCCTATTCAATATAGTACTAGAAGTTCTAGCCAGAGCAAGCAGACAAGAAAAAGAAATAAAGGGTATTCAAATAGGAAAGGAGGAAGTCAAATTGTCTCTATTTGCAGATGACATGATTGTATATCTAGAAGACCCCATCATCTCAGCCAAAAATCTCCTGAAACTGATAAGCAACTTCAGCAAAGCCTCAGGATACAAAATCAATGTGCAAAAATCACAAGCATTCCTATACACCAATAACAGACTTAAAGAGAGCCAAATCAAGAACGAACTCCCATTCACAATTGCTGCAAAGAGAATATAAAATACCTGGAAATACAACTAACAAAGGATGTAAAAGGACCTCTTCAAGGAGAACTACAAATCACTGCTCAAGGAAATAAGAGAGGACACAAACAGATGGAAAACAATTCCATGCTCATGGTTAGGAAGAATCAATATTGTCAAAATGGCCATACTGCACAAAGTAATTTACAGATTTAATGCTATCCCATCAAGCTACCTATGGTCCTCTTCACAGGACTGGAAAAAACCACCTTAAACTCCATATGGGCCAAAAGAGAGCCCGCATTGCCAAGACAATTTTAAGCAAAAAGAGCAAAACTGGAGGCATCATGCTAACTGACTTCAAACTATACTACAAGGCTACAGTCATCAAAACAGCATGGTACTGGTACCAAAACAGAGATATAGACCAACGGAACAGAATAGAGGCCTCAGAGGCAACACCACACATCTACAACCATCCGGTCTTTGACAAACCTGACAAAAACCAGCAATGGGGAAAGGAAATGTTTAATAAATGGTGTTGGGAAAACTGGCTGGCCATGTGCAGAAAGCAGAACTAGACCCCTTCCTGACACCTTACACTAAAATTAACTCCAGATGGATTAAAGACTTAAACATAAGATCTAACACCATAAAAACCCTAGAAGAAAATCTAGGCAAAACCATTCAGGACATAGTCATAGGCAAGGACTTCATGACCAAAACACCAAAAGCATTGGCAACAAAAGCCAAAATAGACAAATGGGACCTAATCAAACTCCACAGCTTCTGCACAGCAAAAGAAACAATCATTAGAGTGAATTGGCCACCAATAGAATGGGAAAAAATTTTTGCAGTCTACCCATCTGACAAAGGGCTAATATCCAGAATCTACAAAGAACTAAAACAGATTTACAAGAAAAAAATAAGCCCATTCAAAAGTAGGCGAAGGATATGAACAAACACTTTACAAAAGAAGACATACATGAGGCCAACAAACATGAAAAAATGCTCATCACCACTGATCATTAGAGAAATGCAAATCAAAACTACATTCAGATACCATCTCACACCAGTTAGAATGGCAATCATTAAAAAATCTGTAGACAACAGATGCTGGAGAGGATGTGGAGAAATAGGAACACTTTTACATTGTTGGTGGGAGTAAAGTTAGTTCAACCATTGTGGAAGACAGTGGCGATTCCTCAAGGACCTAGAAATAGAAATTCCATTTGACCCAGCAATGCCATTACTGGGTATATATCCAAAGGATTATAAATGGTTCTACTATAAAGACACATGCACACAAATGTTCATTGCAGCATTGTTTACAATAGCAAAGACCTGGAACCAACCCAAATGCACATTTATGATAGACTGGACAGGGAAAATGTGGCACATATACACCATAGAATACTATGAAGCCATAAAAAACGATGAGTTTGTGTCCTTTGTAGGGACATGGATGAATCTGGAAACCATCATTCTCAGCAAACTGACACAAGAACAGAAAATCAAACACCGCATGTTCTCACTCATAGGCGGGTGTTGAGCAATGAGAACACATGGACACAGGGAGGAGAGCATCACACACTGGGTTCTTTCGGGGGGAAATAGGGGAGGGACAGCGGGGGGGGGGGAGTTGGGGAGAAATAGCATGGGGAGAAATGCCAGATATAGGTGATGGGGAGGAAGACAGCAAATCACACTGCCATGTGTGTACCTATGCAACAATCTTGCATGTTCTTCACATGTACCCCAAAACCTAAAAGGCAATAAAAAAAAATGCAATAGCCTTGGGATTACATGGTGCATATGAACGTCTGAAAGATGAAGGACATGAATTCAAAGGAAGCTTGGCTATCACAGCAAACCATGCAAGTGAGCAAACTCAAGCAAATCACAAAATAGCCAAATGTCTCTGAAGAAAAAGCGCACATACCCACAAACCAGCCATCATCACACTTTTCCATCACATCAATGACGTCACTTTCTCTGAGTTCCAGCTCATCTTCGTTCCTAGGAGTATAGTTATATAGAGCCTGAAACCTTAAACAGGACAAAGGAATGTGTTTATAAAAGTCTTGACAGCTTTGTGAAATATAGAAGATAGAAGAATATTCATTCTACCTTTAACATTCCTATTCTTAACAATATGAACAATATTATATTGGGTGGCACATGTCTGGTAAACATGTAAATAGCAATATTTAGACCTTCACAGGCGTTAGACCACTCTAACAACCGTTTGAAACTCACGAGGAATGTTCATGAGAATTGTAACACTCATAAATTGGATTAAAATATTTTAACATTTATAAGTCAGACCTGCATTTCAATTGTCCAACCATCTAAGGTCTGTCATTCAGACATTCAATAATAGTACAAAATATAAAATAAGTGATATTTGCATTATTTAACCGTTTAAAAACAAGAAGGAATCACAATTTTGGCTAGCCATAATCAGAAGCAAACAGTTGCAGCTTGAGAATTGAATTTTCCAAGATTCTAAATTGAAACAAAGTGTCTCAGACACGTCTTTTAAATTACTATATGTGAATTACTCTACAAAGGACAATCATTTTTTTTACCAAGAGGAATTCTTTAAATCAGTTTAATAGTTTTGTTCCGTGTTTTCTGAGGATGCAGTATTGGAACATTTGATGTAATTAGCCTATGAAGTTGAATAGATGTATTCTATGTGCCGTTATTACTGAGACAATTTCAAACAGATTATGGACATAAGTCTCTGCTTCAAATGAGTCCTGGAGAAATTGTATTTTAAAATTCTCTCTTGAAATGATTTTATATAAAAAAGAATTATTAATAGAATGCTACCATTTTCCTTTCCCTGCCTGAATTCTTTGACAGCATATACTGTGGTAACATTGATCAATAATGCATTCAGACGCTGAATTTGTGGTAAGAAAATAGCATACATTACAATAAATAGTAACATGGATTAGTATCTTTGGAAAATGAAGGCAGAAATTACTGTAGCTGAGAAGGTGAAGAAGAATTTAACATGGAATTAACACGAAAACTTCTTCATAATAGTACTAAAATATTACCAGTACTGTGAGGGGGATTTTTAAAAATTAGGAATTTGTTTCTACTGCTTTTTGTAACAGTCATGTTATTCTGCTAATATGAGAAAATAATAACTACATTCTAAGATATTTTAGATTTTTTAATGGAAACTTAAAAAAGTTCACAATCTTGACTACTGCTCTGGAACCAGAACGATTTATTTTTAATTACTTTATGAGTCAGAAAATCATTTTGGTAGAACAAAACTATCCTTTGCACTCAAATCTAATGATAGCAGCAGTGACCCACTGGCTTCGCCTGTTCATCCACCACTTGGATTGGGGGAACTGGATAGAGTCGGCTTCAAGGATTCTAGGAAAGAGGTGAGAAGAAGGGGTGCCTAACACCATTCCCTAGAAAACATGGTTTTCCCTGCCCTGGCACCAAAGCCTGAAATTTCAACATTAGAGGTTTCTTCCCTGTTAAAACTTCATCCTTCCAGTAAACCTTATAGCCACTTACATTCTTTTGAGCATGGGCTTCTGAGGCCTTTTCTTGAGAGAGGGGTTTGTGATTATGGGGAAGGACAGAGAAAGGCAGCTAGCATCCCAGAGCAGTGGCCAAAAAGACAGGGAGCTGTGGCGTACACAAACACACCTGATTTGGATGTTTGCATGCGGGCAGCTTTAGTAGAGGGAGTCAATTCATCTTGTTGTTTGTGTTAAGAATTTGATTTGGAGGCTGCTCAAGTGAAGGGGTGATACCTTTTGTCTATCTCTGGGGGAAAGTTCATGGTCGTTTTTCCAATTTCACATTTGAGAGAGAGTGGTCATTCCTGGGCTGCTGTTCTGGTGGGTATATACAGCACCTCTCACTTTGGGAAAACTGATTCTTTTATTGAGATTCTCCGGCTTGAACCCTGCCCAGGCTCATCTCCAGCCAATCATGGAGACCAGTTACCCAAGGCTGCCAGCCCCAGCTGCTGGAAAGAATCTCAAGGTCTCAGAGCTAACGCAACAAGATTGGCACAGACTCCTTCATTTTTGTGGGATGAAAGCCAACATGTCTGTCCAAATTTATTTACCATTCTGGTTTAATTAGGCCACAAAAACAAAAACAAAACAAAACCGAACCCAAGGAGTTTTATGGAAACATAAACACACCTTCAGGAAATCCTCCTGCCTCTGCCGGCTTTCAAAGTCAGTGCTGTGTGACAGGAAATGGAGTCGAATCACAGTTTTAAAAAACGCTGTCCTGAGATGTGTTGGTGAGATGAATGATGATGGTGTGGTAAGGATGCCTCCAAAAGAAATGTGTCTCTTAATCAGGAAATGCTGAGCCCAACTGGAGGCCCTCTCTGTAACTTGCACTTTTTCTAGCATACATTTCACGAAAACCCTGAATTGCAGTCACAAAATATTATGTTCCTACTTTTGCTCAAAACTTATTTTTAGGCCGGGCGCGGTGGCTCACGCTTGTAATCCCAGCACTTTGGGAGGCCGAGGCGGGTGGATCACAAGGTCAAGAGATCGAGACCATCCTGGCCCACATGGTGAAACCCCGCCTCTACTAAAAATACAAATAAATTAGCTGGGCATGGTGGCGCATGCCTGTAGTCCCAGCTACTCAGGAGGCTGAGGCAGGAGAATTGCCTGAACCCAGGAGGTGGAGGTTGCGGTGAGCCGAGATTGCGCCATTGCACTCCAGCCTGGGTAACAAGAGCGAAACTCCGTCTCAGAAGAAAAAAAAAACATTTTTAAATGAAAGCAACTAAGCAACACCCTAAAATCTCGAATTCAGGCTATAATCAAATATACATTTAATAAACAATGTTTTATAATATACAAATCAGGACTTTGAAAATGTAACCTTTCATTCATAAACACTTTAAAAGCTGTTTGATATAATATATTGGTAATGCAATAAACCTAAGCAGCCCTTAAATTTATTTTTTATAATGTGATCTTATCCTCGTTTGGGTAAATAAGAGAACAAACAAAAACTTTAGAATTATAAGTCATTTTTAGTGTTTTCCAATTAAGCAAACTTTTTTTTTTTTTTTTTTTTTTTTTTTTTTGAGGCAGGGTGTTGCTCTGTTTCCCAGGCTGGAGTGCAGTGCCATAATCATGGCTCATTATAGCCTTAACCTCCCTGGGTCAAGTGATCCTCCCACCTCAGCCTACTGAGGAGCTGGGACTACAGCTGCATGCCATCACACCTAATATTTTGTTTTTATTTCTGTAGAGATGGCGTTTAGCTATGTTGCCCAGGCTGGTCTTGAACTCCTGGGCCCTGGCCTCCTGAAGTGCTGGGGTTACGGACATGAGTGACTGCACCTAGCCTTAAGTGAGATTCTAAATGATTATCACTTGTAACCTGTTCTTTCCAAAGTACAGACTTGCCCTCACCAATAACACCTTTCTGGCTGTACTCCGTGAGAAACAGTCTCGACTGCAGATTCTTTTTGCTGAGTTTCAGGTCTGTGGGGAGCAAGGAAGGACTTGATGGTAACAAAGGCACCAGGCCACCTCCAGGACCTCCCACAAGGAGGAGGCTTTGGTTAGCCTGTTCTGCTCCAGGCCAGCAGAGTGAGGGCAGTGGGTCAGGATCCCCAGCATGTGCTACATGTGCTGGATGAAGTTTAGGTCCATGAGTGAGCCTTCCCAGGGTCTCATGCTTGACTCTCAGTGTGGGCAGTAGCCAACAGGAAGTTGATAACTCCTGAACATCTCTCTGGGACAAAATGGGCCCGAAAAAGAAACACACAGAGAGAATCTTCAAGACAACTTGTGACACCTTCAGGCTGACTTAACTCATGTATCAGAAAGGAGAGGAAATTTGAAAGGAAAGTTTGAAAAGGCATTTTCCTGGTGCTGTGGAAGTAACAGCATGTAACTGAGTAACAGTGTGTTAATACTGCCATTTTCAAATGACTCTTCTAAGCATATAACTTTGGAATTACATTATTAACATCACGTTAGGTCTTTTTTACATTTAGGTCCTCTTTTACTGTCTCCCAGAGGGGTGAAAACAAGGCTAGACCATTTTCTATAAGCCCTTGTTACACAGCCAGCAAAGCAGAGAGGGAGACAGAATTATCCATCTTAGGAATCACTGAAGCATTGGAAAGTTTTCCTATGATTCAATTAAAATCTTCTCAGAGAACTATGGGTTCTTTTAAAAATAGATTTCTGATCACTGTCATAAAAGAGACTACTGCAATTTCTTGTAATTCAGGAGGCCTCATGTTAGTTACTTGGGTCTTTCACTTGCATAGCTGTACCATCTGACATTTTGGTACAGTTGTCCATTTTGTGGGTCAAGGTTAGTCTCGAATTTAGAAGATAAGAAGAATACTTACGGTTCCCCCCCACCTTGAATATTTTCATGAGTAAACACAGGACGCTGTGGCTGAAATGAAATGATTTTCAATGTAATCAATGTTTAAACTGGTACTAATTAAAAGATAATTTGGATAATGGCATGGTACTTTTCTTGACATTTAATATTTCCTGTTGTAAAAAACCAAAAGGAAGAAAAAAATAAAGGGTTTCTGCAGGATTAATAATTACAATATTTAAAGGGAGCTTTAAAGCAAAATAACCAAGGTCAAATGTTTCGAACATGTCTACAATCTCGTCTGCTCAAGCTTTAAGGAAAAGTTGGGGTTTAGTCCCACTGATTTTTCAAAGGCCAGGAATAGGAAAAGAACACAGACAGCAAACCACTAGAATAGGAAGTATAGACACCTTCATACAACCTTAGTCTCCAGCGTTTTCTCAAACAAGCAGAAAATAAACCACATTTAGTTTAACAGCAAAGTATCCACATTCATTCTTTCAACCTTTCCTTCACAGACAACATTTTCACATACAGTATACAGGAAAATGTCAATAAGCAGACCTCCCATGCTACACTGGAATGAACATTCTCTGTTCTCAATGTGGAGAAAACACATGCATTTTTAAAAAGAGAAAACAGAACTTTGGAATGCAACGAACAATATCCAGGTAACATGTAACATTTTACCTTAGAAGAGAAATACTGGTAGAAATTTCCAGTGCACTGAACTCTCAAAAGAGTTTCTTTTCTTTTTAAACTAAGCATCAAGACCAGTATCTGTAATAGATACTTATAATATTGGAAATGACAAGCCTTAGCATCCCATATACCCACATTAATATTTCAGTGAATGAAAGTTAACACGTTTGTTGAATATATAAACTCTGTAATTTATATTGACTACCTAAACTTTACCTTTTAGGGGAGAAATGCATACACATCATAACACATTTTAAAACCATTTGCTTCTAAGTAATAGCTACAGGGTAAAATCGGAATTTGCATGGCAATTATATAAGTGACGTTTGATGACTACTGAATTAGCTGTTAAATCCATGTCCTTAGACATTGGGACCAGTTCTTAGATTCCATGGTTATGAGTGGATTACTGAGAGGATGGAAATCTCTTCCTACAAATGGTCCATAGAAACCCCACTGGTCCAAGCTTGGATGGATAACCCTGAGGCTCCTTTTGGTCTTTGAGTCTATGATTTATCCCCTTCCCAAATTCTTTATCTGCCCCCTTTCTATCCTACTCGTCTGTCTAGCATAAGACTAGGTACTCACAGTACTAAAACTGGAAGCTTTGGCTCTATTAATTGGAAACCTTTATTAACAGTATTCTTAGAAACTTCACTCAACAGTCTGTGGATAGAATATTGAAAACTAGACTGCATAAGAATTACCGGACACATGTATGACTTAAGAGTGTGAAATAGTTTACTCCTACACATCAATATAAGTCTACTAACAATGTGTCTTTATTAAAATTAGAAGATATTCATATTTTAAGAAAAATTATGACTAAACAATTTTCCAGCCATCTTAAAGGTCATTTAATTCAAGGTATTATTCAATCAATTTAAATCTATAAGCTGGCAACTAAGTCATTGATAAGCCTGTATCATTACTTATTTAAAGCTCTTTTCCAATCCAGTAAAACTTTATACATGTATAAAACCTTCATGCAGAAGTGAGATCTGCAAACATCAACTGCCATTGGTATTATTTTGTAATAATTTTCCAGTCTTTTTTTCCCTTAGTCCTCTTTCTCCTTTTAAATGCCTGCAGAATCACGTTCTCCCACGTGTGTCCACGTATCAGAGTTTGTTTTGTTTTGTTTTGAAGTTGGAGTTGGTCTGGTCTTTTTTCCCCACTATCATAAATAGCAATGCTATATACATTTTTTATGCAAAGAGCTATTTTCGTCTTTTGAACTATTCTTTAGAATATATTCCCAGGAGTAAAATTTCTGGCCTAAGAATATGCATTAAAGCCACATGGTTTTGCAAATGTCCATGTTAGTCACTGAAAAATACTGTACTCAAAAGCAATTTGAAAATGTCTGATATGCCACACTTCATACCATACCCCAAGATAGCTACTACTGTCCCCAAAACAATTTTAGCACCATTTGCAGTGCATAATAGTTATAAATAATATTTCTTCTTAAGAGAAAATGTATAAAATATATTTCATTATGCTCTAAAATTGGTGTACCTGTTTTCACACATTTAAACCATTTTAATATTTTAAAAGTGAGTCGAAGTTTCAACTTCTACATCACGGCATCTGATGCTTTGTATAACTGCTTATTTCATTCATTGCTCTTTTGTTAAAATGTGAATACCACTTTAAAAATCAAGTTGTTCATGAATATAAAACAATCTACTTTTAAAGTCCGTATATCCCTTTTAGTTATCACCACTATAATTCTACTTGTTTAATTCCTTTAACTCGACCCACCTCATCACTTAAATGAACTGTCTCGCCGACCATTATGAAAATGTGGTGCTTGCTGCAAGTGTGCAGCTCCCTGGATCCCACGTCCATGGCTGGGAAACGTTTGTTTCTGTGCGTGGCAGCCAGCACCGTCCTGGCGACTTTTTTTTTGAGACAGATTCTCATTGTCGCCTGGCTGGCATGCAGTGGCATGATCTCGGCTCACTGCAACTTCCGCCTCCCTGGTTCAAGTGATTCTCCTGCCTCAGCCTCTCTAGTAGCTGGGATTACAGGCATGTGCCACCACGCCCAGCTAATTTTTGTATTTTTAGTAGAGACGGGGTTTCACCATGTTGGCCAGGATGGTCTCCATCTCTTGACCTTGTGATCTGCCCACCTCGGCCTCCCAAAGTGCTGGGATTACAGGCTTGAGCCACCACACCGGGCCCCCGTCCTTGCTTCTACCTGTTTCCCAATATCTCTTTTCCCTTCCTTCATATCTTTCAAACCCTGCCCCTCTTTTTACCCACAGATCATCAGTTTTCTATACTGTTCACATTCCGTGGCCAGAATCAACCCAGACTTTTCTTAGCAGAGAAGCTGTGTGTGTCTTATAACGGTGAGTTTTAGAACTTTTTGAAGCTTACCTTTAACAAGAATCACCTCCATATTAATGTGGATAACTAGAAGACAGTTTTCAAGAAAGCTGTCTAATCACAGTACTAGAATTAGTTTATTCTTAAAACATTTGACTAGTCGGGAATGAGTACCATGAACAGTTATTTGTGACGGCTCATCTGTGTCTTTTTTTGTTTTGGGCGTTAACCACCATAGAACCTTGGGGATGCCCCTCACCTTCCCTATCTCTGAAGTCAATGAGTTGGACAAGGTGATGGTTAATCAGGTCCCCTCAGGGATTCCACGAAGGATGCATATTTCTACAGATATTTCCTCTGCTGTGTAAAGGTGTCCTCATCAGCTTTACACACTCAGTTGTCAGACAGCTGTGACACTGACGTTAATTGGTTAATTCTCATGTATCTCAGTCATGTAAAAAAAAATAATGGTTGCAATTCAACTCCATTTTGCAGGTTAGTAAACCAGAACCCAAACATACTGGATAATTTCTTAATCTGACAAACAGGTAAACAAAACAAACGAAACAAGATGGTAATTTTGATGTGAGCTCTTGGTTGCATGAAAGTTTACTATGATGGAATGGTTGACCTACCTTGGCTAAAATCAGCCTCTGAATTTTGACCCTCAGGTAGGTGCTAATGCATCCGCACTCTGCTGCCACCTCGTGGTGAGCAGTGGCAGCAACAAGCTAAGACTTGTTTCTGCTTTATCCGCCCCTTTCTACCGAAGTTCCCAAGCCTGGATTAATTTTAAGTGCCTATTATAAAGGCCACAGAGTGATGTGGGATAGATAGTCATCTATTTTTCCAACCATGTTCTTCCCTTCTCACATTTTATATTCTTGAGAAAGGATCCCTTGTAAGCCACCAGCATTTTTGGTCTGTGTCCAGTTCTATCTGTGCAGGCATTTCCATTTCTCATAACTTCTTGGCAGTTTTAAGATAAATATAGAACAAGATACATTTGTGACATTCAGAGAGACTTACATGAACGGAGCATAGAAAGATGGCTTTCGACTGACATATTACAATCACTGTGCTGGACATTTATTTTGAGCAAGAATTATATTACGCTTATATTTCCTTAATGAATCTTAAGAGTAGAATAAGAGAAAATCCAATGAAGCATGATGTTGTTTTCATGGTGTCCTAAATATATATATTTTTTCTGTAGCCCTAAATAATTTTTTTCTGTAGCTATTTTTTGATGTTGTCAAAAATGGATACAAAAGAGACAAGTTTTAATCACATGCTAATTTGCAAAGCTAGACCCAATCACAAGTTACTGTTCATAAGGAAGCTGGTTTGAAATATCATGGAGTCTCTAACATCAGTAAAATGTATCCTTTCCTATCTTAGCTACAGCCTGTTGAAAAGCCATCTAATTTATCAAAGGTTCTGCAGTTATCTCTGGAGGCTTAGCTATATTTAGCATCAAATAATTCTTAAATAAGGATGGCCCGTTACTTTAAATACTAATGCAGAAAAATCTCTGAAAGCAATCTAAGCAGTGCTAAAGTGTTTTTGTCATTTTTTTTCATAAAATATTAGTTGTAGTACTTGCTAAGCAGAATTAGGTGAAATTCTCCTAATAGCAATACCATGCTTATGTTTATAGGCTTATTTTTCCTTCTTAAATGATGAAGGTAAAACATAACTTTGCAGAAATCTAAAAAATAGAATATGGTCCACACAAACACACACATAATCTGACATACAAATACATGATGTAAAAATCAGGTAAAAAAAAATCTTAAGGGGAACAAAAGCATACCATCTCACGGACCCACAGGAAATTTATAGGTGGGTCCTCTTAATTGCAAAAGCAGCTTATTTTTTGCCTTGACCCTCAAGGGCCATTTGGGAGAGTCTAAGAATCTCTACAAATTGGCATTCCTCTCTCTATGGCAACACAAAACTCTGCCTCAGCAACAAAATGAGAGCTTCCCATGCAATGCAAAAAGCACAAAGTGGCATAAATACAGAATAATATCTACTTTTTTTTTAGAAATGAAAAACGAAGACTTCTTTGAAATCAAGCCCTTGAGAACGTGAAATGCAGACGCGTAGCTACGTGTTGGACCAGTTAAGGTGGAGTCAGGTCCACCAAAACAGAGATGGGGAAGGAATCCTGACTTCTGTCTGGATGAATATTTCCAAACTCCTTGGCTGCATTCCTTAGAATTGATAGTAAGTACCATTTAGAGTCCATGTCTTTTAAAGCACGGTAGATATCATAGAACTAAGTAGCTAAGGGAAAGTAATTTGACCTTTAAGTTCAATCAAAGCTGGCAAGAAATGGGAAGTGGATAGAATCCAGAGAGCAGTACCCCCGTATCCAGAAACGGCGCACCCAGAGAATGTAGTGCACGCGACTAGAGCAACAGAAGACTTTAGACAAGAACCATGGATTAAAAAAAATCCAAATTGAGTGACACAGAAGCAAACACGACTGAAAGTGTGTGAGTTCAGTACTGCATATGCTTGGCAATAGTTTCATTCTTTGCAGGAGAGACGGGGACTAGAAAGCAGTGATTTCGTGTAGATCCATGAGACAGATGTGGACCACAACACACACGACACCCTTATTTACAGTAGGGAATCTGACCATGTCTTTGTGGATCTGGGAAACCTCATGCACACCTAAAAGGGAAGCCCATCACCAGGAGGTCACTTCATCTCCAGGGTGTCTGCAGCCTTACTTTGAGACCAGTTCACAGCAAAGACAACGAAGGAAGAGCCAGCCCCTGCGAGGGGTGGTCAGGATGTCTGGCTCAAGGTGGGGGCATGCTGACCCTACCCTGTGGGAACTGCTGAGCCCTCTGACAGGTGAGCTGCAGGATCTCTTAGACATCACTGGGCTGCGAGGAGGCTTACCCAGGACACACATCTCGCTTTTTAGGTCAGCCTGGAAAATCCATAAGAAGTTAGTTAGTTCTCATCTTCATCACACAGCCTTTAGGAGGAGCTTTCTTGGGTTGCTTTTTTCCATGCACACACAGCATGCCAATCTCCTGAACAACACCAGGGCAGAGAGGGTTAACAGCGCCTCCAGCTGCTCACACTGTTTCCACAACACAGGCACCAGCTGCCGTCTTAACACGGGACCCACAGGCAGAGCAGAAAAAGGTTTGTAGAGGAAAGCTGGTATAAGGGAGAGGCCAAGAACATATCAGAAATGTTATGCCTTTTTTTTTTTTTCCCAAGACAAAGTCTTGCTCTGTTGCCCCGGAGGGAGTGCAATGGTGTGAGCTCAGCTCACTGCAACCTCCGTCCTCCGTGTACAAGCGATTCTTCTGTCTCAGCCTCCTGAGTAGCTGGGATTACAGGTGTGCGCCACTACGCCTGGCTAATTTTTCTATTTTTAGTACAGACGGGGTTTCACCATATTGGTCAGGCTGGTCTTGAACTCTGACCTCAGGTGATCTGCCCGCCTCTGCCTCCCAAAGCACTGGGGTTACAGGTGTGAGCCACCGTGCCTGGCCAAGAAATGTTATGTCTTTAACAGAACGCTTAGCAACTGGGTTCAAGATGCTCTCAAGCCTGACCTGCTTCCACGTGATTATTGAAGAGATGCAAGGTGAGACAAAGGAGAGTTTGGCTTAATGCCCATCAAATTTCATGGACTATGTCATACATTTGTGGGAGGCAGAATTTTCTAACAAACATATAAGAAGAAAACAAGGCCTTTTTGGGGGAAAGCATGGTGAAACATAATGAAATACTCAAGTGCTCTACCTGCAGGCTTGACTGTGTTAGTGTTCTTTCAGAGTAAGATCTTTCATATGACAGTGAACAAGCTGATCTTGTATGTGTGTGTTTCATTTTCCTTCCAACAGCAGACAGGATCTGGCAGAGTATTGCCTGGTGTTTGATCTGGCTTAAGAGAACTTTAGTGGGAATAAAACACGCTTAAATAAAAGCGTGTGGTTTTCTCAACTCTCGTTTAGAAAAGTTTTCCTAATTCTCAGTAACGATTGCCCTCAAATCCCCAGCCTCTCAGGATGAAGTGTGTTTGGCATCGTTGCTTAGGGGTCATGGCAGACAAGGCTTGATGCTCTCCAAGTCCATTCTCTGCTTGGTCCTCAGTAACAGGACCAGGCTGTTGGGGAGGCATGTGGCCATTCTGGATAAAGATCCCATTTCCTGACTTGTAGCTGGACACGCTCATGTGATAAGCTGTGACAGGGGATACGTGCAATTTCTGGGACATGGCCTTCAAGCGAGAAGGTGTAATTTCCCCCTTTTCTCCTTCCTGCTGGTTCGTGTGCAACAGGACGGAGAAAAGAGGGGAGATTACACTTCTTCCCTGAGCAGTCCTTTTCTCTGCTGGGACCCATTGCAGAAGCTTCTCTCTAAGAACAGTGATGAACCAACATTAGATGGAGCCTCCTGGGTTCTCTGATGACTGTGGAACCACCATATCAGTCCTGGAGACCCTACATTTATGTGTAAGAGCAGTATATTTCTACCTTGTTTAAGCTCTAATTATTTTGAGTTTTCTGACTCTGTGCCTACCCCAGTCCTGACAAATACAGGGGTTCTAAACATATCAGAGCCCTTAGAGAATAAAACTCCATTTAGCTGTTAGAATGATGTGGAGCATAACAGCCGGAAAGACCACGTGAACAATTAGGAACAAACAGGGCCTGATTTCATGCTGGAAACTACCCCAGGGATCCCTTTCTCATGAGATGATTTGTGGGACCACAACCCCTGAGTTTCTTGAAAGAAACCCAAGAAAGAGCCTCTCACTCTCCTCGGAGAGCTTCTGCTGCAACCTCGGTCCGCATGCTGCAAGTCTCTTGCAAAATAGTCTCTTGGATGGAAATGGAAGCTCAGCTTACAGAGGAGCTGAGATTTATACTATTTTTTGTTATGAAAAATCATTATTTTAAAAACAAATCCTCAAAAGATGGGAAATATTGGATTCAGATTTATACATCAAAGATAATTTATGTATCTTTCCGTCATCTGTAATCTATAAAGTCGTAGTAACTTTTACGTTTATGGAAGATTTTGGCATTGCCTTTATTTTTATGGAGATTTTCAATGTCTTAGAAAACACTTTAAAAGAATGAAATTGCATTGACTTAACATAAGTTAACTAAACAATGGTTTATAGGAGTTGATAAAAATGCTATTATAGTGATTTCATGCATGCTCTACTATGTCTATTAAAACATTATGAAAAGTTTATTTTCTCTTTGCTTTCAGTGCTCGGTTATTTCTTTTCTTTACAATGATCATTAACATTCTGAAATGGAAGAAAGAAGAAGGCTTTGGCCTCAGACTGACACAGTCTGTAACTGGGTCAGATGTGGAATTAAACTATAATGGCCTAAAATTTGGAGTTGATTCAATTTGTATTTAAATTTACAGGCACAAATAACTTCAGTGAATACATTCTTTCAGTGACTACAAAATAGATTTATAAGGTTTAAAAACACTCAGTGGGAGATTCAAAAATCAAGATTTGCTCCTACATAGGAGAAAAAATAGAGAAAAACCACTTTGCTTTGCCGTCATTATAAGTATTTCATGTAGTTATTAGTTATTGTGAAAATCTCCATTCTCTCCTGACATTCTGCAAACAACTGAAACCTGGAGAATGTACGAGAGGGATTTGGTTCTCACAGAACAAACCTTTTTACATCTGGTTTTGTCCTGACACTATAATCGTGCATCCTCTATCTTTCTAAATTAGAGAACTCAGATTCTAAAGCTACTTTACCTCTTATTGATTAAGCTTAAAGTCTGAAAAACCAGTAAAAAAAGGACAAGAAATAAATAGCTTGGCCTTAAAAATAAAACCACAGAAAAAGGAGAAAAAAACAGAAATGCTTAGTCTTAGGCATCATATAAAGTGCCATTATTTAAAACATTTTCTAATTATTTTTTGCCAGCTAAGAAAAAAACCTCCAAGAGCAAAAAAACAATTAGTCTTTAAAGTGTTCCATTTTTTACAAAGTTCCTTTCACACCTAACAGGAGCACGTAGCCCATGTCAGCGAACGGGTCTGGTGATCATGATTTTGAGGTTCTATAAACAGCACTTCCTAATACAGAACCTTAGCTGTGTCAGAGCCCTACATTTTTACTTATCTGCAGAGGCTCTCATTTCACATTCAAAAGATTGAATGTGAGGGTGAGTTATTATTTGAAGTCTGTCACCTTGTGTCTAGAGGAAAATGTTTCAGGATCATTCTAAATACAGAAGGAGAACGTTTCTGTGATGGACTAATTTCACGCTGTGCTTGTCATTAAATCTCTTTCCAAGGCAAGTCATTCATTTTGTTAAGATAATTTTTTTAAAATGGCATCTTTAGGTTAAATACCAGCGGAGCTGTCAGCCTGCAAGTCTGGATGCTTTGGAAACTGCTACAAAAGTGTGATCCTTCCCACATCCTCATGAATTTACTTTACTTTTGTGGAAGAACAAGGCTCAAGACACTCAGTGCCAAAGACCGTCCTGTCTCCAGGCTCTGCTGAGCCTGCCGATGGGTGGGAGATGACGGGAGGCAATGAGTCCACTGAGAGGGGATGGAGCATGACAGGCACTGAGCTGAGACGCCTTCGAATGTGACGGTTCTCGTGCTGACGCTCAACTGAAAATAATCATTCCTTTTTATTCTGATGTGCATTTCAGTCTGTTTTTCCCCTCAGTCTGGGTATAGCTGCTATGCAAATGGATCTTTTAGATGTTTGGATAGAGGCCATGCTAAAGATGTTAAAAGTTAGCAATTAGTATTTATATAACTTCTTAGGTCTTGTGAGAGGGCATACATCTTACTGATTAAGTTCTTGAAGACATGCAATGAACCACACTCAAGATGCAGTTACCTTTAATTTTGGTGGATTGATCTCCTGTGGATAAGAATATTTAGGGAGGAGAGGAGGTGAGCAGGGCTGAGAACGTGTAGAGTCCAGGTCAGAAACAGAGGCCAAGAGAGAATGAGATGGAGGGGAAGAAAGCAGGTGGTTGGGGAAGGGTGTGGCTGCTCGGTCTCCCGAAGAAAATGACGGTGGCTTACATATTGAGGAAAGACAAGACGTGATTACGCTTGCGCCCGGAAAGGGGTGACAGAATATCCTCCAACCCCAAATCATTTTAAAGTTACCAGTAATCTTGGGAAGTTATATTTATGACACATTTTTTTTTTTGCTTTGAAAGCACTAACTTCCTCTCTTGAATTTGATTTAAAATCCTCAGTGGGTGTGATCAGTATAATTTTCAGATATGGGTGGCTGGAAATAGGAGCACCGATATTCCATACTTTTATAATACATTTCTATGTGGCTCCTTCTAAAAGTGAAGGAAAAAAGTATTTAAAACCCTGCAATGGCTCTTTGTAACTTGCTTGTAAAGTAGGTCACCAACTATAAATAGTTTGTCACACAGCTGGGGACGTTGCAGCCCCCTGTGTGCAGGGTGTGAGCTGGTGCTGGGATGAGCCGGCCTGGGGTGCTGTCTGCAGCAAACAGACAGTTAACAGTTTAACAAAGCCGCGCATCTGATCATTTCTTAAAATTGACTGAATTGAAAGGAAAATTAGTTATTGAAATAATTGGTGTAGAGACATGCTTGACTTATTGCAATGAAGTATCTATCTGTTATTAAATAATGTGTTTGTTTTACACAAATGCAGGCATAGCCAGGTTATTTTGAAATAGAGGAACTAGGAAAGAATATGACTTGGATAGTGGCATAATATGAACCATGCTTTCTATCATTTCATGATTTCCATAATTGCCAGTAATTATACTTGCTTCTTAATTCACAGGATACATTTGAGGGATCAAGTTTCTTTCTTTCTTTTTTCTTTTGAAACAGAGTTTTGCTCTTATTGCCCAGGATGGAGTGCAGTGGCACACTTTTGCTCACTGCAATCTCTCTCTCCCGGGTTCA